AGCACATAGTAAATGTTGGCTGTTATTATTATTCTCCATTGTCTCTTTTTTTTCATGTTCTTTCTAGACCCACCTAACTATGAAGTGGATCAAAAGAAAAACCAGAGGCACATTCAACCTATCAACATCAGTGAATTTTGCACTGTTCAGAACAGAAGCCACTAGCCACATGTGGCTATTTAAACTTAAAATCAAAATGAAAAAAAAATAAAAATTCAGTTCTCTGGTCACACTTACCACATTTTAACTGCTAAATAGCCACATGTGGCTAGTGGCTACCATATTGCATAACATAGAGACATTTCTATAATCACAGAGAGTTCCATTGCATAGTGCTCCTCTTATCTTTTCTAGTTACTACTATCCTGTATCCACATAAAAGCAGCTGAAGTTGTGCTTTATTCTTTACTTTTAGGGTAAAGGTACCTTTAGGGTTCCTATAGCCAGGAACCAAACAATAAGCAAACCTTGGGTGATTATAGTTGATTGCTGCCTTATTATCCTTTCTTCTTGTCACTTGTTTTATCTTTGGAGGTACTCCTGTGTCCAGGAACATACTTAGTAACACACCCATCCCCCACCCTCAAGATCAAGGAAATTGAAATAGAAGTGGCAGGGACAGGTTTTCAGTTACTCAGTATTGCCCTGTGGGGTGGGGAGACGTCTCCAGATAGTGACTCCCAATGTCAACAATTCATAGAAGCAGGCTCAGCCTCTCAGGATTCTTAGGTGAGGAGCCTATTTTATTCCTGACCTCTCAACTGAGATCTCTCATTCTTTCTAGACCATAAGATAGATATTCTCTTCTTTATATACCTATCTCCATAACCACTAATAATCTTTGACCTTCCATTTTCTCCAATTACTGAAAATAAAATATTATTTTAATTTAGTTTCTTTTTTCCTATTACAAAGATCACTTTCATTTCTCTTTTCTAAGAATGAGACTCCCATCTGTGCCTCCCTCAGTGGTAGGAAGAATAAAGTAGAGAAAAAGGACTGCCCTAACAGCCTCAATTCCAAAGACCTTGGTTCCCAGAGTGGGAGGCTGGCTATTCCCCAAAGGAAAGGAGAGGAAAGAACTGAGGCCCAGGAAGGGCAAGGAATACAAAGAAGCAAAGGCCCCATGGAATTAACATAAATTAATCCCTTAAAACCAGACGACACTCTACTCTATCCCATCCAACCCCCTATACTACCCCTCATCTTGGTTAACTCACTCTGTATATTACTAGAAATATTCTTTGCCCTGGAAATAGAGCAAGGCATTGTGTTGTTTCCTACAGGTGGTAAACCACCACCTCAGGGGAGAGGAAAAAAAATATGGTATGTGAAATATGTGAAAAAAGAGAAATCAAATTTGAACACTTTGGGTCATAGAAGCCAGGCAGATGTTTTCCACCCCATTCTCTGCCCATGCACATAATATACTGGTTGCCACTTGGTTGGAAGCCTAAAGAAAAAAATGCTTTCAAATCTTTGCAGTTTCTTTCTTTATATCCTCTTGTTATGGACTGAATTGTGTCCCCTAATATTTTTATGTTGAAGCCCTAACCTCCAAGGTGGCTGTATTTGAAGATAAGGCCTTTAAAGAAGTAATTAAGATTAATAAGATCGTAAAAATGAGGCCACAATCCAATAAGACTGGTGTTCTTATAAGAAGAGGAAGGGAAACCATGGAAGTGCCCAGAGAGAAGGCCATCTGCAAGCCAAGCAGAGAAACCAACCCCACTGACACTTTTTTTTTTTTTTTTTTGAGACAGAATCTCACTCTGTTGTGCAGGCTAGAATGCCATGGGGTCAGGGTCAGCCTAGCTCACAGCAACCTCAAACTCCTGGGTTCAAGTGATCCTCTTGCCTAAGCCTTCCGAGTAGCTGGGACTACAGGCGCGCACCACCACACTTGACGAATTTTTTCTACTTTTTAGTAGGGATGAAGTCTCACTCTTGCTCAGGCTGATCTCAAACTCCTAAACTCAAGGGATTCACCTTGGCCTCCCAGAGTGCTAGGATTACAGGCATGAGCCACTGTGCTGGGCCCCTGCTGACACCTTGATCTTGGACTTCCAGCCTCCAGAACTGTGATAAAATAAATGTTTGTCATTTAAGCCATCCTGTCTGTGGTATTTTGTTATGGCAGTCCTAGCAAACTAATATACCCAATAGCTTAATTTTTCTCAATCTAAGTGAGAAGACCCACTCCATAAGTAAAAACCAGGTAATATTTAAGATACCAAATATTTATTAGAGGTAATATTGAAATGATTTACCTGTATAATACAGGCACCAATAAATCGGAACCAGTGCCAGCCATCTCAAGATGAGGCTTGTTACTTCATTAATTAGTAGCCATTCACCAAGCAGTTTCTATGTGCCAGGCATTGAGCATAAAAAGGGTTCCATCGAAAGCACCTTACTCTCCGCCACCTCTGTGCTTCTGCCCTTATTATTCAATCTCCCTAGCAGATTATGTGAGTGTAAAATATTAAATTATAAATCAGAAGATCTGAACTTATAGCCTCATTTCGATCTCTCACTTAGCTTACATGATTATGTCCCATTTCAATCTCTCACTTAGCTTACATGATTATAGTTTATATAGCTTGTTTCCACATTTGTAAAATAAAGATAATGTTGGCTTCCCTGTCCATCTCACAGTGCGTTCCGAAATCAAATACTAATATAAAAGTACCTTAGTAACTGCAAGCAAGTTACAAATATTATCATTACTTTTTGCATTTCTCTGCCTACTAACTTGCTCAAGACAGAACTCAAATCCAAGTTATCCATGAACAATAACATATAATTTTTCTTTATCTTTTAAAAGGTTTCTCTGGCTGCTCTGGCTAGAAGTGATCTCTTCTGTCTTTTAACTTGTATTACATTGTTTAATTTATTGTGAAGCATGTGCTATATCATGAATTTCTAGTATTGATATTTTTCCATGTAATAAAAGACTATTAATGTGGATATTTTATACTGTCAACGTTTATATTATTATGTCCCCCTCCCTGTCCAGAGTGCAAAATTCTTTTTTTTTTTTTTGAGACAGAGTCTCACTGTGTTGCCCAGGCTAGAATGCCATGGCGTCAGCCTAGTTCACAGCAACCTCAAACTCCTGGGCTCAAGTGATCCTTCTGCCTCAGCATCCCGAGTAGCTGGGATTATAGCTGGGATTACAGATGTGCACCACCATGCCTGGCTAATTTTTTTCTATATATTTTTAGTTGTCCGGCTAATTTCTTTCTATTTTTTAGTAGAGATGGGGTCTTGCTCTTGCTCAGGCTGGTCTTGAACTCCTGACCTCAACCGATCCTTCTGCCTCGGCCTCCCAGAGTGCTAGGATTACAGGTGTGAGCCATCGCGCCTGGCCTCAGAGTGCAAAATTCTAAAGGAATATCTTTCATAAAGAGAAGACACATAACAAATATTTGTAGGACGGTTTTTGGAATGTATGTGTAACCAGGTGCAAATAACAAAACCTACTCCAACCTCAGAATGAATGCTTGAGCATCTGTGTGCCAGAAAGAGCAGATAGAACAGCAGACTGGCCTCCGCCTATAGAGCTACAACCTCTTCCCCATTTTGTATGCGGAGATTTCTTAGTTCTTTGTGTCTGTTGTGATCTGATTTGTAGACCTAACTGGTTGAAGGATACTAGCTTCTAAGTAGAAGTCGGCCTGGGAAAACTGTCCAAAAATCAGGATCAAGGTAAAGTCTCCAGCTACAAGTGCTAGGACAGCAGTGGTTCTTTTATTATTAACTATTTGGGGCTGGCTGCATTTTCTTAAATATTAGGCTCAGTGGAGAGGCTGCTAACCAACCTGGTAATGGTCCTACTGTTTTTTTCAATTCCCTGTTGCTTCCCACATTTAAGGTAGTCACAATTTGCTGTGACTTGGGGAAAACCCAGGTGTGGTTCAGGCTCCCATAAAGACCACATAAGACTGTTGATCGGGGAGGACGCACTGCCCCTTTGCTGGGAGCAACCTTGAGATAAGTCTAAAGATAAGTCTAATTAATGAAATAACAAGCCTCATCTTGAGATGGCTGGCACTGGTTCCGATTTATTGGTGCCTGTATTATACAGGTAAATCATTTCAGTATTACCTCTAATAAATATTTAGTATCTTAAATATTGCCTGGTTTTTACTTATGGAGTGGGTCTTCTCACTTAGATTGAGAAAAATTAAGCTATTGGGTATATTAGTTTGCTAGGACTGCCATAACGAAATACCACAGACAGGATGGCTTAAATGACAAACATTTATTTTATCACAGTTCTGGAGGCTGGAAGTCCAAGATTTGATTAATCGACAAACACTAATGAGTATGCGTTAAGTGTTGGTGGTCATAAAATTGAGTAAAACAAGGTCTTCTAGTGATCGTGACACTCATAAAGGTATAATTTCACAATGCGATGGGGGGAATGGGAGGAGTCTGTAGGAACAGCTTGCAGGAGAACCCAGTCTTGTGTCCTTTCCCAGCAGTAACTCCAGCGAGAAGGGCTGGCGTGGTAACTTTTTAATCCATTTTGAATTACATGTCGTTACCCTGACTTTTTAAAGGTACCTTTTTGAGTGGCTAAGGCAGTGCCTCCTCCTACAAACAAGATAGCCCAAGCTTCCGCACCTTTACTGCCTCCCCTTTAAATAAGTAAGCCACGCCCCACTTGTTCTGGCGCTAAGTTCGGGCCAATAAAGTTGCACCCCACGGATCACAGGTCTAGGGAAAGGAAGTCAGCAGCCAACCGGAAACCACTTATAACGCAAAGCCGGAGAAAAGTCCTTCAGCGGTGTCTGTGGGCCAATGAGGAGCTTAGCAACAGAGGCCGTACATCCTCCCGGAACACATGACCGGCAAACAGCAGTATCCTGGCCCCGCCTCCTGGTCTGGAGGTAGCGCGATGGGCCACGCTGCCAATGGCTTGCGGAACCTCGAGTCACGTGCAGGTTTTGCAAGTCCAGCGGCATCTGGCAGATCATGTGATAGTTGACGTTTGCGCGCCGCTCCCCAATGGAAAAGGAGAGCTGCCTTCACAGGCCCAGGAGTTGGTTTCACCTCCACGAATAATAGCATGGCGGGGGCGGGGATAGCCTATCACGTGCTGCGGGACGGAACGGGGCGGGGCAGGCTACTGGTTGCGGAGTGAGCGGCGCGCGGTGCGCAGGCGCCCTGGGGACCCGGTAGCGGCGGCGGCGGTGGCTGCGGTGACGGTGGCGGCGGCGGCAGCGGCGAAGGGAGCCGGATCGCTGACCCGGGCGGGAGGCGGCGGTGGCGGCCATGGCGGCGGATGGAGAGCGTTCCCCGCTGCTGTCTGAGCCCATCGACGGTGGCGCTGGTGGCAACGGTTTAGTGGGGCCAGGCGGGAGTGGGGCCGGGCCCGGGGGAGGCCTGACCCCCACCGCACCACCATACGGAGCCGGTAAACATGCCCCGCCCCAGGGTAAGCCGGGGCGGGTCCGAGGTGCTCCTGGGTGTACTCTGAGTGGCGGGGAGGGGGCGGGACTGAGGGCGGAGGCGGGGCCCAAGCGCCAGGTGTGGGGCTGTAGCACCTGTGACGGGTGAGGCATCCTTCCCTTCGCAATCGCGACCAGAGCCTGGAAACAGGAGGAGGTTCTGAGGAAGCCGATCGAAGCGCCGATTATGAGAAGCCCTATAAGCTTGGTTAGAAGGGTTGAAGACTAGAGAGTTCACTACCCTGGTGGGGCATTAGTGGGGGTTGGCTACAAGTGATCCCAGCTCTTCTTTTTAACTGCTTTCTCTCTAGCATTTCCTCCATTCCCCGAGGGGCATCCAGCCGTGTTGCCTGGGGAGGACCCACCCCCCTACTCACCCTTGACCAGCCCAGACAGTGGAAGTGCCCCCATGATCACCTGCCGAGTCTGCCAGTCTCTCATCAACGTGGAAGGCAAGATGCATCAGCATGTAGTCAAATGTGGTGTCTGCAATGAAGCCACTGTGAGTTATACATATCTATGAAACGGGCCCTGTTTCCTGGATCTTCTTTCTGGTCTCTTGATTCTAGACCCTGACCTTCAGGCATTGGCCAAATACTCTTGATGAAAGCCAGGTTTCAGTTCCAGGTGTCTCACACAGCCACTTCTCCAAAAGCCACCCACCAAAGCACATATTTACCATTCCTCACCTTCATACCTATCCTGGATACTTATCTAGTTCTCACTTTCAAATCCCGTGATACATATCTTTCTTTCATTTCTGTCTCCTGGACCTTATCTCTGATCTCTCCTCAGAAAGTGTTTTTGGAGGGAAATTGGAAGGGATTGGAATTAGAGGTTTGCTTGCTAATGTCCCCATTATTCTCTAGCCAATCAAGAATGCACCTCAAGGGAAAAAATATGTTCGATGCCCCTGTAACTGTCTCCTTATCTGCAAAGTGACTTCCCAGAGGATTGCCTGCCCTCGGCCCTACTGGTAAGAGGCGTAAGGTGGGGAAGAGCAAAAGAGGGGAAATTTGGAAAGCCAAAAAAGGATGAGTGTTTATAGAGACTGTAAAGATGAAAGAGCCTAGTGTTTATTTAGGAGAAAAATCTGTGGAGCATTGTGTCTCCAGAATGTTGTAGTCATCTTTCTCATTTCCATAGTAAAAAGATTGGGATGAAATAAATGGTGACTTTTAGGAGAATGAAGAGTCTCGGGGAATGGGTGAATTATCCTCAGGTCAAAGGGAAATTAGGGACCTAAAGTTTAAGTAGTGCTCTTTCTCAAAGATTCTCTGGGGTAGGATTGGGGAACAGAGTATCTAAAATGTACACAGTAGAAGAACTTGATAGAGTGGCAGGGAGTGGGGGATGTGAAGGAAAGACAGCATGGGGATCCTTAGGATTAAAATTTTTCAAACATAGTCTTTTTATTCTATACAGCAAAAGAATCATCAACCTGGGGCCTGTGCATCCAGGACCTCTGAGTCCAGAACCACAACCTGTCGGTGTCAGGGTCATCTGTGGACATTGCAAGAATACTTTTCTGGTGAGGAAAGGTATTGGGAAGCCATGGTGGGAAGAAAAAAACAGGAGTAATTATGAGTTTATTTCCCTTTGCAATGATAATGACTCCTGAAAGGTGTCTGTCCTATGGGAACACATTCCCCTTCCCTGCCCCTGTGTTCTCACTGATGAGGACCTTGCTTTTAGTATTAGTTTCTTTTTCTTTCCCCATAGTGGACAGAGTTCACAGACCGTACCTTGGCACGTTGCCCTCACTGCAGGAAAGTGTAAGTGATTAGAGATTGAGCTTGTAATTGGGTGATGTGTGGAATGAAAACTACAGGGCCATCACAAGCATCCATTTCTATTTGCCTCTCCACAGGTCGTCTATTGGGCGCAGATACCCACGAAAGAGATGTATCTGCTGCTTCTTGCTTGGCTTGCTCTTAGCAGTCACTGCCACTGGCCTTGCTGTGAGTACCCTTATTCCGACCCCTTTTATTCTTCAGCCTCATCTCCATAGGCTAAGATTTGGAAAATGGCTGCCTTAAAAAAAGTGAAAGAAACCGGGTGGAGGGTGGTTGTTTGGTTTTAAGGTATGGATGAGCTGAAGTTAAAAGTGACTGATAAAAAGGAGTAAAAAACAGCCATCCTCTTTCAGGACAGTGAAGAAGTGGCTTAATTTAAGAGCTGCTATTAGAAAGCTTGGCTGAGTTGTCAGATACTAAGAAAAACTGACAGATGTCTGTCTGCCACAGTATGAATACGTTCCTGCCTAGGAGAAGGGAGCTAAAGAACCTGGCCTTTAAGAAGGTGGCTGCATGTGGATAGGGAACAGGGATTGAAGCTTGAGTTCTGCATTACTGTTCCTAGAGTGTCTAAGAAGTAGTGGGAGATGAATAGTAACTCTTTTTTTTTCTCCTCCATCATCAGTTTGGCACATGGAAGCATGCACGGCGATATGGAGGCATCTATGCAGGCTGGGCATTTGTTATCCTCTTGGCTGTGCTCTGTTTGGGCCGGGCCCTCTATTGGGCCTGTATGAAGGTCAGCCACCCTGTCCAGAATTTCTCCTGAGCCTGATGACCCACAGACTGTGCCTGGCCCCTCCCTGGTGGGGACAGTGACACTACAAAGGGAGCTGGGGTAAAAGGCTCCCTGGGCTTCAGTAAGGAAGCCAAGCAGCTGCCTTCCTTTTCCCTGGGGAGAGGTAGGAAGGAACCAGCCCTCACATAGGTTGGAGTGGTAGATAAGACCACTGCTGACCATCTGCTTTCCTCCAAGGGTTGCTGCTTAGGGTGAAATAGGCAAAATGTTGCCCCTAAACCCGGGTCCTGAAGACGGTTCTAGCCTTGTCCTTCCTGTATGCTCCCTGAGAGCCATTCCTGTCCCTTACACATTCCAGGGCAGGGTGGGGGTGGGTAGCCCTGGGGGTTCCCCTGCCTCTTGTGCTCCATTAGGACTTTGCTGCTGCTATTGCACTTCACCAGGGTTTGGCTCTGGCCTCAGAACCCTCCAGTCTCCTCTCCCCACATTGTGTGTCCTGTGGGGGTGGGGGTCAGCCGCTGCTCTGTACAGAACCACAGGAACTGATATGTATATAACTATTTAATGCGGGGTATGTTCCCCTAGTCTTGTATTTCCCTTAATTCCTCCTTCCAACTTTAATTACCCCCCACCAGTTTCAATATTGAACTGGGCTGGGTAGGGTTGCTCTGTTTTGGGGGAGGTTAGGGACTCATCCTGTGCTTGTAAATAAATAAGGTAATGACTCTATCCTTTTCCAGTTGTTAACGTGTATGTATGAAAACATGAGGAAGGGAATTTGTAGCCCCATAAAGCAGGGGGAAACACAAAGAAAGACAGCAAGACTGAAACTATGGCTTTTTATTTTCATGTTGATAGTTCAAAGGAAGTAGGTGGTAATCAGTAGCCTTTGTTCAACTTAAGGAAAAAGAAGAGAAAACCCACAAAACAAAAACCTTGGGCTTCGGGCTTAAAAGAAACCTAAGTCTGCATAGGACCCTGCTTGTAAGATTCATTTTATAGATGAGAAATAAGCGATCTGGGGGAGGTGTCACAGTGCGAGATACAGGGTGATGGGACAGTGATCACTACCGAGGGCCTTGGAACGGATCTTACTGTCACACAATGCAGGTAACAGAGAGTGGGACAGCAAAAAGTAATCAAGGCGCCAACCAACATTCTTGGATCGAGCATTCATCATGTAAGTCCAAAAGGTGTAGGCATAGGCTGTGTTAGGGTAGAGGTGCCGAAAGCTGTCTGCCAGTGGCACAGCCTGCAGCAATTCCCCAAAGCCTTGGCGCTCTTGTGGAGTGAAGCCAGCATTCTTTTTGTTTCCCTTGGGGTTTCGAAGGTCAATTTCTTCATGAGCCACATTGAGGTCTCCACACAGCACAAGGGGCTTCCGGGAAGCCAAGCCCTTCAGGAACTTACGAAAGGCTTCATCCCAGCGCTGCCGGTACTCCAGTCGTACCAGACCACGGCCTGCATTAGGTACATAGGCTGTTACCAGCACAAACTTGTCAAATTCAGCCACAATCACCCGTCCTTCCTGATCATGTTCCTCCTCACCTACAGAAATGATGAAACATAAAGAACTGTAAGAAAAGGAAGAGCAATCAAGAGTTGGGGCAGGGATAAAGTATTGGCAGTTGGTTTGGAAGAATGCAATAGCATTAGGGATCAAGAGGGTCTCACCAATGCCATAAGAAACTTTGAGTGGGCACTGGCGGGAAAGTAGGCCCACACCACTGTACCCTTCCTTGTCCGAAGGAGCTGACCAATACTGATGGGATAGTACAGCCAGCTCTTGAAGTTCAGTGGGTAGTTTGTTCTCTGAACATTTGGTCTCTTGGAGGCACAGGATATCTGGGGCTTCTTCCTTTACCCACTGTGAGTGAAAAGAAAGGTGGAATAAATATATTATCAATTTAGAACACTTATTGAACAATCTGTGCTAAGTACTAGATATACGTAAGTTAGACACAATCCCTGTGCCTAAGGAGTTCAACAGTCAAGCAGCACAATATTTAAACAATTATAAACAATATAATTGACAACTAGTAGAGGCAGGTAAGAAGAAAACCTTACATGCTATACTAAGAAGATTGTGTTTTTTCTACAGCCAGTGGATAGCCAGCTAAGACTTTTTAGTAGTTGTTATTGGAATGGAAAATAAGTTGGAGATAAAACCAAGGAAGTCCAGTAAAGAAATTTTTGCAAAATTCTGGGGAAGAGAGGATATTAAACAAAACAATGGCAATGGAATGAAAAGAATAGACATTTAGGAAATGCAACTGGCAAGAATTGGGGAAACCCCACTTGTACCTCTAGCACAAAACTACAGGCAGGAGGGAAGTAAAACTTAACATGACGACTAAAAGAAAAGGTGATTAAACCCCAAGATCATTCGATACTAACTAATGTCTCTTCCTCTCCTCGATCCCACTCACATCTAATCCTTTCTTCTTAATCCAGGCCCGAAGCCCATCCACGTTCCAAGAGCAGATCTTGAGTGTGGCAGATTTGCCGCTGGGTGAAGTTTTCTGATCAGGGGGGTCCTCATATAGGACTGGGCCCTCTCCTGCTGCCTCTTTTTCGTTTTTCTTTGCTCCCGTCTTACTCTTCTTGGTCTCTGGCTCTATAAAATGATTAATATATAGTGATAAAAGCTGGAGGTTTCCAAGCTCGATCTGGAGTTAACTACAGACCCGACCAGAGCCTACCGCAACTTCTCCACAAATTTCTGCAAAAATGAGTCAGTCCGTACTTACTGTTCATCGAAGGAATTAGAAACACCCCCAACCGCAGTTGTAGGGAGAGGGTCTCATTTCAATCTCTTACCCGTCTTGGGGTCTTCCCCATCTTCTGCCACCGCTCCCTTTTTCCCGCGCTTCGGCATCCCTGAAACGAACGCCCTTGAGCACCTGCACCACCTCGCCCACCGATGCAATATTTTTATCACGTTGCCTACAGACACAAAGACAGGAAACCAGCTATGGCTGGGAAGGCTCCTCCCTAGGGCGTCCCCGCACCAGGTCCCGCCTTTGAAAGCATATTATCTCTGTCTCAATGTTTTACCCGCCTCCGTGAATCATAGGCCCTCCAGCCCCTCACCCACGTAACTAGATCATTTCATAGTGCCTTGTACCCTACTCGCGACATCTGCCCTACGACTAACGGAGGACCTTAATTAAGAGTACCGACGCAGGTGCCAGTCGACCGCCAGCGAAGACCCTGTTGCGAGCAGAACAGAAATAGTGTATCTGCCCTCCTCAGGCCCCAGCCTAGCTCCTCCTTACCCGAGCACAAAGAATGGAACACACTGTGCCCCCACGTGGGTGAGTGGCGTGGTCACGTGAGCCCAGACATGCGCCACGTGACCAAAGAATGCGGATGATTGGCCTGTCTGGCACCACGTGACAGAAGCTGGGCCTTCCCTCTCTTCTCTATCTCTCCAGGGTACTGAAGGCCCCACGCTTCATTCTCGGGCTGTTTATCGTTGTGCCAGATGCACGGCTTATTCTGCGAGCCCAGCGAAGATCCTAACGCTGTGCAAGAGGGGAAAAAAATCAGTGGGGAAGGCTGGGCTGAACCACGCAGAGAGGTGGGGAAATGGGTAGGAATGTAAGGCGCAAAGGCCAGCTCAGCGTCCCTGGCAGTTAGGAAGACAGGTCCTTAAAGGGGCCTTGACAGGTAGCGGTGACGGCGCTGGCGCGCCATCCGTGGAAGTTCTGTGGTGTCTGTCCCTGTGCGATCTGCTTTCTAGCACCTGCGGTCTCGTTTTCTTCCTCTGCGCTCGGAAATCTGCAGTTCAGCACTGACTAGTGAGGGTCTCCACAGCTCCTAAGTTACTAGGAGTCCTGCCGGCATTTTCTCCCGGGCTCCGCCATGCCGGCGGTGCTGGGTTTTGAAGGTAGCGCCAACAAGATTGGCGTGGGAGTGGTGCGCGACGGCAAGGTGCTGGCGAACCCCCGGCGGACTTATGTCACACCTCCGGGCACAGGTGAGTGAGTAGGAGACTTTGGCGCGCTTCCCCGCACAGCGTCACCGTCCGTCATCCTAATAGCTAGTGAAGTGGGGTCTGGGGCGCATTGTCCCTTTCTACAGCTTTTGACCCGAGTCTCATTGAAGTTATGTGACGATCTTAACGTCACAAGGCTGAGGACTAGAAGAGTCACAGGCACTTGGACGTGGGTTCGTTTAGCCTTTATGGAGCGCATATTATGTGCTAGGCATTCAAAAATAAATTCTGTGAGCCTGCTGCGAAGTCAGACACATAAGCAGATCTTTACACTACAGCATGATAAACGGTATAATAGAGATGAAGTCGAAATATTTTGGAATAAGGAGAGCTGGGCTCCGTGGCTCACGCCTGTAATTCCAGATACTCGGGACGCTGAGGTGGGAAAATTGCTTAAGGCCAGGAGTTCCAGAACAGCCTGGAAAACATAGTGCAACCCTCCTCTCTAAAAAAAAAAATGTATATATATATATATATAAACATATATATTGTATATACACACGTGTGTGTGAGATATGAAAAATAACCAGGTGTAGTGGCCCTGTCACCGGTGTGAATGTTCTTGCTAAAGTCACAGAAAGGAATTTCAGAACCCGCACACAACTTAGTGGCAAATTTATTGAGTTGAAAGCAGACAGACTTAGGAAAGACTTGTGTAGAAGCAAAAGCATGGTCCTGAGAGTGGGCAGGCTGAAAAGGAGCAACTGCGCAGAACCCCAAGTCGTTCCTGTTTTTATTTGTTGAAGTCAAAGAAGTCTGGGCACTCTGTTCATTCTGTTCTTACACATATATAATGGGGGGAAGGTCACTTTGTACCTGTGTAATGCTGGGAAATTGATGGCTCTTTTCTTCTTAGGTCTGTTCAAGGGCTATTTGTTCGAGCCAGTTGACTAACTTTTCTGTTCCTTCCTCCCTCGCTCAAACCTTACTGACTACCTACTCTAACAGCCCAAGCCTCTAGTCCCAGCTTCTTGGGAGGTTGAGGTGGGAGGTAGGCTTGAGCCTTGCAGTTTAAGGCTGCAGTGAGCTATGATCACTGCACTGCATTTTTTAGCCTGGACAGGTTGCCCAGGCAACCCTGTCTCAAATAAAAGGAGAGACAAGAGTGGAAAGACTCTGAGGTTAGGTGTCAGAACTGGCTGGCTTTGCAATATTCATATTGAATGTTTATGTTTTGGACATCAGTTCCTTGCTCTTTTTCTTTTTAATTATTTTTTTTGAGACCATGGAACAATCATAGCTTGCTGCAGTCTTGAACTCTTGGGCTCAAGTGATCCTCCTCCCTCAGCCTCTCAAGTAGCTAGGACTAAAGGCTTGCGCCATCACGCCAGGCTAATTTTTAAAATTTTTTGTAGGGATGGGTTCTCACTATGTTGCGCAGGCTGGTCGCAAACTCTTGGTTCCCCCCTAGGCCTCCCAAAATGCTGGGATTATAGATGTGAGCCACCATGCACAGCCTATGGTCCTTACTCTTAAAATGGGAATGTTAATACCTGTATCATTGGGTTTTTAAAAATTTAATTTTTTCATTGTTTTTCTTTTTTTCTCCATTTTAAAATTTTTTGTATTATTAAGTTTTGAGGATTAAATGAAAGTACCAAATTATAACTTTTAATTAATATTACTTAAAAGCTATTATTTCTTGCCTACTCTCCCCTTGAAACACTTGCACACATAGGAGGGGCAACTGACTTGGAGCATGTACCTGAAAAGCTTCCCTGGATAGATGATGTTGTGACAGGTTACTCATTAGAAACATATATGTTTAGCATTCACCCTTCTAGGCACTTAGGTGCTGAAAATAAAAGATAAATAAAATAGCCAATGCTCTGAGATACTTGTGGTTAAATCAGGCAAACTACAAATAATTATAATGCTGTAATTGTTATGTGTTAAATACAATGTCATCATGCATAGTGTTCTGTGGGGTCATAGAGAAAGAAGGTCACCAAAGGGCATGAGGGTAGATATCATATGAAATGAGTCCTGAAGGCAGAGTAGGAGTTGGGTATGAAGAAGCGCATTTTTTTTTTTTTTTTGAGACAGAGTCTCACTTTGTCACCCTGGCTAGAGTGAGTGCCCTCAAACTCCTGGGCTCAAGCGATCCTACTGCCTCAGCCTCTCAAGTAGCTGGGACTATAGGCTTGCGCCACCATGCCTGGCTAATTTTTTCTATATGTTTTTAGTTGTCCAGATAATTTCTTTCTGTTTTTTTTTAGTAGAGACGGGGTCTTGCTCTTGCTCAGGCTGGTCTCGAACTCCTGAGCTCAAACAATCCGCCCTCCTCGGCCTCCCAGAGTGCTAGGATTATAGGCGTGAGCCACCGCGCCCGGCCAAGAAGTGCATTTTTTGAAAGCTGAACAACCTATATAGAGGCTGGAAAGAGTATATCTGAAAACCTGGAAGATAAGGATGGTTAAGGAGAATGAAAGGGTACTTCCTACATTACTAAAACTGCTGTTGCTTTTTGCTTTTTTTTTTTCCCTACCTACGTTTGTTACAGAAAAACTCTATGATTTTTGAACTGTATCCATTTCCTAGGATTCCTTCCAGGTGATACTGCCAGGCACCACAGAGCTGTTATCCTAGACCTGCTGCAAGAGGCACTAACAGAGGCTGGATTAACCTCCCAGGATATCGATTGCATTGCCTATACCAAAGGTAGGGCTGGAAGAGTGGTCGACAATGGAGGGATATACCTGGAGCCTGACTAGGTCAAATAGCCTATAATTGCCTTGCCACCAGCACTACCCCTACCATACCTTTTGCGTCCCCTACTTCCCCTACCTGTTTATTTCTTATCTCCAGAATTTTAATTCACATTTCTATCCCCCAGGCCCTGGCATGGGTGCTCCACTGGCTTCTGTGGCTGTCGTGGCCCGAACTGTGGCCCAACTGTGGAATAAGCCATTGCTGGGTGTGAACCACTGTATAGGCCACATTGAGATGGGCCGCCTCATCACTGGAGCCACCAGCCCAACTGTGTTGTATGTCAGCGGAGGAAATACACAGGTACTTAGGGTACTCCACCTATTCCATCTTAATTAATTTCTAGGGCACTGAACCAGCAACTTCTTGTTCTACTTTGAGTTTCAGGAACTGCAAGAAAAAAGCTAGGCTCATCTCAACCTAAAATATTATATACCAGAAAACCCACAGAGTTTATAACATTGCAGATTTTGGAAGGAAGATTAGAACATTAGATGACTTTTGTATATGTGGTTATAAAGATTAGGAATTTCTAATGTAGAAAAGGAAAGAATGGTAAGGATCGAAGCCTTCAAAATGATAAAAGATCTTTCATTATTTTGAAGCTTATTTTTTCTATAAGTCTTAGCAATTAAAACTAGGGGGCATTACCTGATTTATTTTTTTAGGATAATTACATGTTTTGTTTTTAAATTACTAGGGATAAATATATAGATTTTTTTGAGACAGAGTCTCGTTCTGTTGCCGAGGCTAGAGTACTATGGTGTCAGCCTCACTCACAGCAACCTCAAACTCCTGCCTTAGCCCAAGTAGCTGGGACGATAGGCATGCACTACCACCGCCAGCTAATTTTTTCTATTAATATTTTTAGTAGGGATGTGGTCTGACTCTTGCTCAGGCTGGTCTTGAACTCCTGGTTTCAAGCAATCCTCCCGCTTCGGCCTCCCAGAGTGCCAGGATTACAGGTGTGAGCCACCATGCCTGGCCTATAGATTTTGTTATTCTAAGCGTAGAAATATGAATAAAGAATATTTTATGAATGGTAGAAGGTATTTTAAATTTATAGGTGAAGTTAAAGTTGTTTGGAATACGTTATATGACATTTAAGGTTGGGATTGCATTCTTTTTCCACAGAATACCTGATAGGTTTTTTGTTTTTTTTTTTTAATTTAGGAACAGACCTTTTTAGCCAGACCTGAATGATCATTGACAAAACATCTGAAACACAAACTTTAACCGGTGTTCTTATACTGATTAATAAAACAATCAGACTCAGATAAACAATGTAGACTATACTAAAGTTAAATAACAGGTGAGATCGGTAATTCATTTCTAGCTCTTCAGCCTACATATTTAATACCTGCTGTCCAGAACGCCTGATAGGGTTATTAGAAATAGTTCAGCATTGTCCCCAGCTCATGAAAGGGTTGTGTTTCAAAACTTCATTTTGTGAAATAGTTATTAAAGATGCATACCTTCCCACAAAAATCATGTCAGAACTTCAAATAGCTGGTCAAGGCCTGAAGGATGACATGCAAGGTTAGGGACTTG